ATTCACCGGAACCGGTAGGGCGGGGGTAGGAAATCCCCGCTCCGATCCGCTGGTTGAAGGTCGTTTGATTGAGTGGTGATGGCTCATTGCGTAGTAACTGGAATTTGGGGGTGTTCCAGTCGGACTTGCTGCGGCAGAACTTTGTGCCGAATGAGACGGATAGAAGATACTTTGAAATTTACCGTTAAATGCTTGTTCGATGAACAACTTGCGAGATATATGTCTGTTTGTCTGTGCTTTTAGTGCACAGGGACTTTCAGAGAATTGTGGATTGAATATTTAACGTTTGTCAGCATATGTTGTGGCTGCTCAGCCCTGCCGGAAGCTTGATGAGCGAATAAGTTAAACTAACGTGCACACTAAATGTGCACAACAGTATGAGATGTGACGGACTCAGTGGTATAAAGTGGGACTTTAAGGTGAATAATGGAATGCATACTATAACATAATTGTACTTGATTTTTGAGCATGCTACAAGTGCAGTTTTTGAGAAAAATGCCACGGAGAACTGAGTACGGTAGAGCAAAAGTTCCTTTTGAAGTTTTCGAAGCTCGTACAAAATAATCCTCACTGTTTCAGCACTTGTTGGGAAGGTCTATTAGAGCAAAACATTCCCCCAAGATATCACAAAAATTGGTGATGTTTTCAAAGAGTTAAAACAAAAGTTTGTTTCGAGTTGATAAATTATAACATTTGACCAATTTTGGGAACGTAGAAAAAGAAAAAAAATATACTCTGAGCGAATAAGTTGACAGGAATTCATACGAATATCTTATGAGTTTTTGTCACAACGTATTCTTTAAAATTTTATGAAAGTTAGTCATTAGATAATATTATGATAATTTACCTATATTGAAGATAAAAGTTGCAACCGGGACTCGAACTACGGGTTTTGAGATTGGGAGGTGGGTACCTGACTCACTAGCGCAATGTCACTTGTGGGATAATGCCAACTAAAAGCTTCTCAGATCCATGTATTCCTAGACAAAGGCAAAGTAATTATTTCATATGGTTTCTTGAGTTTTGGACGCTTGCTTAAAGGTTCATACGTCTGATCGTATAAATACCATACGTTCTATTTCCTGGGTGTTTGTGTGGGATATGTTTTTTTTTGGGAATTAGATTTCTATATGTCATCAGGGAGCTGGAATGGCATATAATGAGCTAAAAGTTAGAGCCAGCGGGGTAAAAGTTCGAGTCGTGTTCCAAATATTTAAAATGCATATATTTACTGCAAATAATCATAAATGGTTCAGGGGGCAGGACACCTTTGCTGAATACATCAAATGTTTTAGATTTTTTCATTTTCTTAAACACAACAGTATCTGTAGAACAAACATTGTACAGTACAAAATGCCCTATCTTTTGCGTGTATTATATTTTGAAAATAGGGGAATTGGCTCTAATGTTGGCCTATGGATCTAAGATTGGGCCCATCGCTAAAAATCTGCTGTTTATCAATTTTATCTAGATGAACGCGTCATTGGGACGGTACTAATGGATATTTTGGCTGTTATTGAAAGTTTAGTCAATTGCTGAATTATATGGGCCCAAATTAGGGGCATTTATGCCGACATTACATCCATTTCCCCTACTTAAATATTTTCGTTAATATTAAGAAATATTTGAAGATATTTTCATACATACGGCCATTCCATAGCAAAACGTTTTAGTGGTTCTCAAAATTTCGTAAAAATTGGTAGTTGTGTTCCTTATCGCAAAATATTAGACCCGTATTTTTTTTCATTAGGGTGACCATTTCCGCGTTAAAGTGGTCCAAAAATCGTTGTTTTCAAAAATGACTTAAAAAAAAAAAAAACATAACTTTTGAACCATTAGGCCGATTTCAAAAGATCAAAATATAAAATGAAAGGTAATTAAAAATACATTATAATATTAATATATAATATAAATATATAAAAATATTAAAAAATTGAGTTTTTGTTTTGAAAATCATTGATTGTATTTGTTTTTTATGGTTTGCATTGTTTGTAGATAGAGGCCGCAATCTATGTTTTATATTTTTCCTTGAAAATTTAGGCTTTTTTACACATTGCATCACAAAATCAGCGATGTATTTTTTTTCCTTTTTGAGTCATATTTTTTTAAGTTGGGTTTTTGCTCAATACTCCTATGCGATTAGACTATCATATGTTCCATCAATTTATAGCAACTGTAATTGTAAGGTCACGACGAAATTAACTTTCTATTGATATTTTGATCATTGAAATCGGTCATGTGGTTCAAAAGTTATAATTTTTTTAATAAAGAAATTTTTGATAAAAAAAATTTGGATCACCTTCACATGGTTAGCGGCGTCGTGGTGGTGTCAAGGGAAAAAAACATGGAAATAGTAACCCTAATGACAAAAAAAAACTAATATTTTGCAATAAGGAACAAATTTACCCTTTTTTACGAAATTCTGAGAACCGATATATCGTTTTGCTATGGAATGGCTGTATATCTAAGCTGTCTTGCCCCTTGGAATAGAGCATATACTGATTCAAAATTCATTGGCAAAAATACTATATTGCTGGTTTAAATTGAATACCCCCACCAATAGACTTTTGCCGAAAACAATTTCATTTAATGTTACTGTTAATTCTATCAAAATAACTATGCATTTTGAGCAAGTATAGTAGTTTTGCCAGAATCATACACATCAAAAAATTATGAATTTTAATAGTGATGTAAATATTCATGCATGCTAAAATTGAAGCATGTAAACTTCCTTTTCACGTAAACTAGCAACTTGCAAGAAATATTGCTTACAAAGATGGATGGTTGCATACGATATTTAGAATATTTCATTAAATGACTCATAAATTTACACGATCTGTAATGTGAATTTGTATGATATGTGACGGTCCATTTATGTGCATCATAGTGACAGAAATTTACACTACTTTTTCGAACTGTGTAATACATTTGCTTATATTCATAGTTAACTATACTGAAATCATAGTAGATTGAACGATAAAAAGCGTGGTTATATTGAAAATAAGTGTTTTCTGCCAAATAGTAACTATGGTCCTTGTTTCAGTAAAGAGATTGCTAAAATGTTCATTGGGAAAATGTTCCGTTATGACTTTTTTTCCGGATGAAAACATTTTGTGTGTACGTATACGCGACGTAGTGTGCGTACGATAAACGTTAGCAATCTCTATAATGCTACCACTATTTTCGAGTGGATCTCGTTGTTTTTCAAGTTCTGACCATATCTGGGGACAAACATGTGATTTCTTTATGTCGTTCAAACCATCATGGGGCATTTAAAGATTTGAAAAGGTATAACTTTTTAGGGGCCTCAGATAGCCTAGTTAGCAAAGGCATGGTATTACCAAAGCGGAGACGGTGGGTTCGATTCCCGGTCCGGACGAGGAAATCTTTCGGGAAGGTAAATTTCTCGACTTCCCTGGGCATTTAGGTTTAGCGCTTTTGCCACACAAATTCGCCATGGAAACCTCTCAATTAATAGCTGTGGAAGTGCATATATAAAATTAAGTTGAGAGCCAGCAAACCGCTCGCATAAGAAGCGTAAAAGGCCTAGAAGTTGAAGAAGTGTCAAAACTTCTCTAAAACTACCATTTAGTTTGTTACCATTTTGCCGCATTGGGACATGTTTGAGCAAAAGTTCGTTTTGAACACTCTTCCGAAAAAAAAAATCGTTCTAGCTACGCAAATTCTAAATTCTAGCTGCAAATGATAAATCAAAGCTCTCACAGTTGTAAGCCTTGAATTGGGGATTTTGGGTATACAATTAGTTTGATTCCAAATGCTTTGAGTTGCAGTTTGCTCTCAGCCAAGGGGTAGGAGGTAGGACCAGAACCGGTAAATGTCATAGAAACTATGTGGGGACACATTTCTCCCCATACATTTTCATAGTGTCATTTTATTAGAAAAAAAAAAAACTATCGTTACCACCGCTGGGTAGGACACCTTGGCTGAATATATCAATTGAAATTTTAATTTTCTTGGCTTGACCTTAAAATCAAAAGTATCCGTAGAAAAACATGCATGAAAGCCTCATTAGTTTTGAAAATACTTATTCCAAACATTTTCATTGATATTTTGAAGTATTTGAAGATATTTTCCAATATAGCTAAATTGTCTTGCCCCTTGCTCTTAGCTGTCAAAGCTGCAGCAGTTCTCGTTTTCGGTGTCGATCGGCAGTTATGTTTCTCTTTGAGGTAGTTCATAAACTACGTAATCCGTTTTTGAGAGGTTTTAGAAACCTCCCCGCCTCTCGTAGACAATTGTCCATAAATGTTTGTGGAAATTTGTATGGACCATATATTAGCATTAGCATTAGCATCGAACAAGTTGCACACTATCGTAGGTGGTACGAATTCAAAACTATTAAGAACAAGACGGATATCTATTACTGTACAGATAGTAAGTAGGAAATAATTACTATCTCCCAAATAAAGACATATCCCGCTCCAACAGTTAAGGATTGTCCTGGCCACGTCCCTACAACTGAGAGGGATAGGAAAGGTATGTTAGTTCAACATTTACCTAAGAGAGATGCAGAGAACTCTACGACCCCTCATAAATGTCTCGGGAATTTAGGAATTATGTTAGTAGGGAAGGTAAGCCATAGGATACACCCAGTCAGTGTTGCTGGCAAATGTAGTTCAAATTGGTAGATCATATTTTTTTTTATAAAATTTGGATAAAGGGGATTTATTTATAATTTATTGACGCCATTGCGAGAGAAATTGCTCACAGATAGTAAACACCACACAGGTAGAAAGAACTTTTCGAGAAGCTGTGGAATGAAAAGAAGGATATTTAATTAATATTACATTACAAATAGTTAATAAAGCAGTACATGAGCTGCAGAGCAATGAGATTACATCGTTCGGTATGAAGGTTCAACTCAAATAAACTCCCACCTTCATGCCAAAACTGCAAAATCAGTCGAGATCAGTTGTATTATGACACTTTTTTTTAGCAAAGTGTTAATTGTGGCCTTCATTTTCCAATTCTCGTTTCAGGTTCCTATCAATTCGGATACGAAGTTGGGCCGAACGGTCAATTCCATCACGAGACACGAGGCCCCGACGGAGTGACGTACGGCTGTTACGGATACATAGATCCAAATGGCATGCTGCGAGTGACACACTACGTAGCCGATAGTCACGGATACCGGGTAGTTGAACCGAACCGATCGGTGGAAATTTTCACCAATTCTCCATCGCAATACAGCAAGTAAGACTATACCCGTTGGATTCGATGAGTTACAGGTAAATTTAACGATTTGTACCCACCAGTGCACTCACCGACGACGATGCTCAAACGAGACAGCGAGGCCAGCTAGTACCGTGGCAGGATCTATATCTTCCTCGTGGATGTGGGATGTATCCTGGAGGTCTACGACCGGATGGGACTCCCGTTACTAAGCCGCCTTCCACAGGGGGTAAGTTATGATCGTGCTCCAACCAGAATGATCGTAGTTTAAAGGCAGGCCGTTAGAACTTGCACCCAAATCGCACCGTAAAAAGTAGAACATTGCACCACAACCACAATTTTGTTTACTTGCACTACATAATTACAGCACCTACAAGACCGACTGGCGGCACCAGTACTAGCGGTGGCAGTGGCACTGGTAGTCCTCAAGGTATTGTTTGACTTTTGTTTCAGAACTAGAATCGCTGCTAGGGTGGCACTACGAGCTATCGATTATTGTATTTTAGCTCCCGGAGGAGGAGGTAGTGGATCTCAGCAGCCACCTGGTGGAAATCGTCCTGGGCAGGGTCAAGGACAAGGACAGGGACAAGGGCAGCAACAAGGACAGGGACAAGGACAAGGACAAGGACAGGGTCAAGGGCAGGGACAAGGTCAGCGACCAGGACAGGGACAGGGCCAGGGACAAGGCCAGGGACAGGGACAGGGACAGGGACAGGGACAGGGACAGGGACAGGGACAGGGACAGGGACAAGGACAAGGTCAGCGACCAGGACAGGGACAGGGCCAGGGACAAGGCCAGGGACAAGGCCAGGGACAGGGACAGGGACAGGGACAGGGACAAGGACAAGGACAGGGTCAAGGACAGGTTCAAGGACAGGGTCAAGGACAGGGTCAAGGACAGAGTCAAGGACAGGGTCAAGGACAGGGTCAAGGACAGGGTCAAGGACAGGGTCAAGGACAGGGTCAAGGACAGGGTCAAGGACAGGGTCAAGGACAGGGACAAGGACAGGGACAGGGACAATGGCAAGGTCAAGGCCAGGGACAAGGTCAACGACCAGGACAGGGACAAGGTCAGCGACCAGGACAAGGGCAGGGACAAGGACAAGGACAGGTTCAAGGTCAGGGACAAGGTCAGGGACAAGGTCAGCAACCAGGACAGGGGCAAGGTCAGACACAAGGACAAGGTCAGGGACATGGTCAGCGACCAGGACAAGGACAGGGACAAGGTCAGGGACAGGGACAGGGACAAGGACAAGGACAAGGACAAGGACAAGGTCAGACGCAAGGACAAGGTCAGGGACATGGTCAGCGACCAGGACAAGGACAGGGACAAGGTCAGGGACAAGGACAGGGACAAGGACAAGAACAGGGACATGGGCATGGACAGGGGCATGGACAGGGGCAGGGACAGGGACAGGGACAGGGACAGGGACAGGGACAGGGACAGGGACAGGGGCAGGGGCAGGGACAGGGACAGGGACAGGGACAGGGACAGGGACAGGGACAGGGACAGGGACAGGGTCAGGGACAAGGTCAGCGACCAGGACAAGGACAAGGTCAGCATCCAGGACAAGGACAAGGACAAGGGCAGCAACAGGGACAGGGTCAAGGCCAGGGACAGGGACAGGGACAAGGGCAAGGGCAAGGACAGCAACAAGGACAAGGACAGCAACAAGGGCAAGGACAGCAACAAGGACAAGGACAGCAACAAGGACAAGGACATCAACAAGGACAAAGTCAAGGACAAGGGCAAGGTCAGAGACCAGGACAAGGCCAAGGACAGGGTCAAGGCCAAGGACAGGGTCAAGGCCAAGGACAGGGTCAAGGCCAAGGACAGGGTCAAGGACAAGGACAAGGACAAGGCCAAGGACAAGGACAAGGACAAGGACAAGGACAAGGGCAAGGACAAGGACAGCGACCAGGACAAAGTCAAGGGCAGGGACAAGGGCAAGGTCAAGGCCAGGGACAAGGACAAGGACAAGGACAAGGACAGGGACAAGGTCAAAATGGAAATTGGCAGCAACAAGGCCCGGGTGGTCAGAGCCAAGGGCAAACCACCCCATCTGGTCCTGGACATCACCATCAAGGACAACATCAAGGTTCACATCAGGGACCCATTAGCTCCGGCCAGCATCAGGGTCAACATCAGGGAAGTCATCAAGGAGTCAGTCAAGGATCTCACGAAGGTCAACACCAAGGATCTCATCAGGGACCAATAAGTTCGGGTCAACATCAAGGTCAACACCAGGGCAGCCACCAAGGTTCATCTGGACAACATGGTGGACAGCACCAAGGTTCGCATCAGGGACCTATCAGTTCCGGCGAACATCAAGGTCAGCACCAGGGTAGTCATCAGGGCATAAGTCAGGGTTCACACCAGGGTCAAAACCAAGGCTCTCATCAAGGCCCAATTAGCTCTGGTCAACATCAAGGTCAGCATCAAGGCAGCCATCAAGGAATACATCAGGGACAACATCAAGGAGAGCACCAGGGTCAGCATCAAGGTCCGATTAGCTCGGGACAGCATCAGGGAAGCCATCAAGGGAATCACCAAGGTGGCAACAATCAACACCAAGGTCAGCATCAAGGTTCACACCAAGGACCACTCGGTAATACAACACATAATGTACAGGTTTCCTGGGGCCATGAGAAGCCTGGACAACAAGGTATGTAGGGTCAAAACTTAATGATTATTTGATTTCATTCAACGCTTATTTTTAGGACAAGGACAAGGTCAACAGCAAGGACAAGGACAAGGTCAAGGACAACAGCAGGGACAAGGACAAGGTCAAGGTCAAGGACAACAACAGGGACAGGGTCAACAGCAGGGACAGGGTCAACAACCAGGTCAAGGCCAACAGCAAGGTCAAGGTCAGTGGCAAGGACAAGACCAGGGTCATAAGGACATGAGTTATCTTCTTTCAAAATCCGTAGGTCAAGGTCAAGGACAGCAGCAGGGACAAGGCCAATGGCAAGGACAGGGACAGGGTCAGGGTCAACAGCAAACAACCACTGCGAGACCCATCGGAGGTAAGGTCAAGCAGTTTCAGAAAGCTCTGCTGAAAGTTCTAACAATCTCAGTCTTCTTATTCGTAAGTGACGCTAACCGTTGATAATACCTTGAGGAATAAGATCTTATTCACCAACACTTACATCACATAAATGGTAACCTATTGTTTTCGTTTCATAAACCTAATTTAATCGCACACGAACAATCACACCTTCACCAACACAAACACTCACAAATGCACATCTTTACATCTTCACGTATACCAAATACAACACGAACACACGCACCCCGATCAACGCACGCACACGCAGTACACATTGGCATAAGACCTCAAATATTGGGCGGTGGGGGCCTAGGCGCATCAATTAGTATAGGTGGACCACACGGTAAATACCTGCCTCGTACTTTGCTCATATTCTTGCTTTACTAATGTTTTGCTTTCGACTTGCGCTTTCGCCTGTTGTGCTTTTTCCGTTATTTTCTTTTTGGATCCCGTTTCTAGTGGGTCTTACCGTGGGCGCTGGCATTTCTCAGGCAGGATTAAGTGGTACCCTCGCGACGTCTCACAATACGACCTCACACACCGGAGCTACCAGCATTGGTGGATCTGTCGGGACCGGTGGCATTCATGCATCGACGAGCCACAACTCCACGGGAAGTGTACTAGGAGTTTCCTACAATCACACTTCCGCCAGCAGTGGATCTCTGGACGGTCAGGGAGTACAGGGAACGCATACAGGTTCGAATAGCTTAAACAGTACGCACGTATCCGTGTCGGGTGTTAACAACCTGGAAGGTTCGATCGAGGGAGGTCAGATAACTGTTGGAGGTACGGTTAATCACACCGAAACCCTTGCGGTAGGTTCGGTTAACGTAAGTAGCACATCCGGAGGTTCGTTTGGGGGAGCAATTAATCCGGAGCACGTCGGCGTCGAAGTGAGTGGGATGCTTACCACGAATGCCAGTATTAGTGCGCCACTCATAAATCCCCAGCAAGGTAGCGTAACAGTCGGCGGTGGTGGTAGTGTAGAATTTGGTAGACCCCCTCAAGGTTAAACATGACACCAAATGTGGTAAGCTTGCTGATCCACTCTAACACAATTACCGTATTTCTTTTAGGACCCTCTACGGACTATCCCTATGGACCAACGTCACCGACTCCACAGCCTGGATTTACCACCGCTCAACCCGGTTATCCACCAACGGCAAGCGGCGTTCAACCTCCAAATCGTCCCGGTCAAAACGGTTCTCCTCCGCCCAATGGCGGCAACAACAACAACAACAATAATAACAACAACAACAACAACAATAATAACAACAACAACAACAATAACCAGTACCCACCGTATCAGATCGCCGTTTCTCAATATCCTTATTTCTTTGTTCCTTATCCTTATCCTCCACCTTCTAATGTCCCACAAGCGCCATGCAATTGTCCACAGGACCAGAACCGACCAAATCAACCTACCGGCTATCTCGGGTTCATCCCGGTCATCTACGTACCGAGCTGTAATGCTCAAAAGAGTGGTCTCCCTACTCACATTAACTGGCCGGCTCCTCCTCCGCCGAACGGCCTGGGTCGAACCCTTGAAGACTTGCCGCTCCAACGGCTAGTGCAGGGATCGGATGGCAGTTGGGACGTCCAGCAGCTGTCACCTGAGGAACGACAACAGCAACTGCAACAGTTACAGCTGGCACCAGAGCCACAGCTGGCACCAGAGCCACAACAGGTTCAGCCCCCGAGACCACGCCAGAATCGCAACCGAAGACTCCGGAGTCGACGACCGCCGGTGGTACAGCAGCCACAGCAGGAAACGCAGATTGAAACCGTTTAGGGGAGGTGAACTATGGGATTGGGTGGGCAGGGGTCAAGGGAAGCGGACAACGCTGATAGTGAGAAACTTGTGAGGAAACAGACTGGTTGTGACTTGCAAGTCCGACGGCGTCCTTCAGGAAAAAAAAAAAATAAAAGAATTGGTTGGACGTGAGAGATGAAAATACTCATTCGAATTTAAGCTAATGTATGCGCTAGAGAAATGAAACTGTTTGTCAATAGAAAAACGACAATGAACGATGTCAAGCGTGTCAATACAAGTAATAGGAGAAAAATGTGGTTATTGTTTGTAATGAAATATCACGGCCAATTTGCTTGTGGTCGCCTACCATCAGCATCGTTTTTAATTCCATAGCTATTACGGCTCAACAAAACTTGGCTGCTAATGACCTTAATGGCAGTTCACGGTCACAGTAGCTCTTCCGACAAGAAACAAAACCATCGTGTGACATATCAAACTTCACGATTTTACAAAACACAGTTCCCGACAGTTCATGGTAACACTAGTTTGCCTTATTGATAGTCAACGGCCATATTAGCCCTTCCGGGCATGATCTGGTGCCCTCGGAAATGTTTCGGTGCCCCCGGGGAAGTGACTAATTCTCGACATGAACGAAAACCCGTCGAGTGACATATCAAACTTGATAGTTCTTCAAAACACGACGGGTAATGACTTTATTGAGATGCTACCGTCACATTGGTCATCCTGGAAATTTTCTGGTGCTTTCCGGGAAATGGCCAATTCTCAGAAGAATTAAATTTCGTCGTGCGAAACATCAAACTTCATGATTTTTAAAAACTCGGCTGGTATTGGCCTTACTGAAGGTCTGTGATCACACCAGTCGTCCCGGGCATGTTCCGATGTGGTCGATTTTGGACGTCATGGGTTTTCATAAAACTCGGCAGGTAATGTGCACGGTCACATTGGCTCTTCTGGATATTTCGGTGCCTTATGGGAAGTGATCAATTCGCAACTAGAATCAAAACCCGCCGTGCGACATATCTAGCTTCATGATTTTACAGAACTCGAACAGTAGTGGCCTTGGAGAGTCCACGGGTCTCCCGGGCATGTTTCAGATGCTTCCGGGGAAATGAACATTTCTCGACAAGAATCGTATCAATATCGACGATGCTTTCAGATTCAGAATTTGCGTCACTATTCATGATGAACATGGCAACAGAACTCATTTGGCACACAGGACTGAAACGTCGTCCATCTGAAAACAACTCGAATGAAGTCAATGTTCATATTTCACTACGCGAAACTTATCCAGTGCCGATGTTGTAGGGGTAAGCGTGACTGCTTTCTCACCCCAATGGGTCTGGGTCCAATCCCAGCCGAGGTCGGTGGGGTTTTCCTGAGGCATAAAAATCACGTCTGTAAAGCCGTTGTTTCCGGCCCATGTGTGTTGAATGGGTGCGATATCCTACGCAGGTGTGAAAACTGCCTTTCTGCACATTCTATTGCCGTCAATGGATGGCAATCGATGTCCGTCGGTGATTAGCACCTGAGTGGTGCGAAGTGAAATTTTCTTCATGTTGGTAGTGTTGAAATAAACGTTTCATCACCGTCGGTTGGTAGAGAGAAGTGTCAAACGGCTTTTTGTGCAGAGCCGATTCGTGACTTTGTGATTGTTTGTTGACATTGTTCATAGCTGGAGTTTTTACGGAGTGGAATAAAATTCAGAATGAAGTGTTTTGCTCACTTTTGCAATTATAAAGATGGACACGACGAAAAGCGAAGCCTATTCAGGTTTCCCAAGGATTCAGCAGTACGAAAAGAGTAGCTCAGTTTCTGTGAGGTGGATCTCAATTTTCAAATCAAACCCAGTGACCGGTTGTGCAGTATTCATTTTGATAAAAATTGTGTAAAACATCTGAATTCAGTTGCTTATCGTGATAAAAATGCAATCCCTACACTGCGAACATATGATGATGGTCCATTTATCAGTGAAACAATTGACGAAAGTGATAAAGTTGTTAACGATGAAGATTGGCGATCGCCTGTCTGCAAAATATACTTTTCATTTCAAGGAAGTCAAGAAAGAATTTAGCACTAGATTACGGAACAGAGAGTTAAATAAAGGAATGAAGAAGACTACGCGAAACCTAACATCAATCTCCTCATCTCCATTCCTTACCCGCTAATATTGACAGTTATGCCGGGTTTGTTTTGGTCTCCATCCGTTCCTATCTCTTTCATTCTCATGGAGAAAGTAGAAAAAGGACGGCAAAAAGAGAGGTTATCTTTTGCGTGTAGTGCTTTATTGAAGCTCTGATGCTAATTTGCCAGTTCCTACTGTTCGTTCACGATTATGCTTGGTTTATGTCACACCGCAAAACGTTAAATTGAGATAGTATTCTATTGTGGTTCACGCAAATTTTACGCATCAATTCTCAAACAATTTAATTGATTTTTAATTGCCTTTGCGGACTAAAAAGAGTGCTTTTGAGAACATTTATATGTTGCCATCTTGCCGCTTTTCATGTTACATGAAAGCGATGTCAATTACTCAAGGGCCGACCCAAGTAGCATCAAGTCCAATTAGGTTCAGTGGTTGTCGATTAATGTGAACTCTCAATAAGGCCATTACTGACCGAGTTCTTCAAAATCATGAAGTTTGATATGTCGCACGAAGGGTTGTGGTTCTTGTGGAGAGTTGGTCATTTCCTCAGGGGGCACCGTAACATTTCTGAGGGTACTAGATCATGCTAGGGAGGGCTAGTGTGATCGTGGACTGTTAATAATGGCCGAGTTTTGAAAAACCATGAAGTTTGATATATCGCACGACGGGTTCCGGTTCTTGTCGAGCATTGGCCGCTTCGCCGAGGGCACAGGTGACCGGAGTTTTTTTGCCACCCCCACCAAAAAGCAAGAAAACTTCGTCGAAATTCTCTGGAACCTTGGTTGGCTATACCGGAACTGTGCAGAGCCGTCTCAATCAAAAACTCGAGAAAACTCCCTGAAACTTCCGTCGACTGCATCGGGAATCTCCACCGGAACCTTGTGGATCCTCTTTCATCGATAATGCAAAAAAAAACCATTTAAAGTTCCTGGAACCGCTGGCAACGTCGGACGCGAGAAACTCTGTCAAATTCTACTGGAACCTCCGTAGGCTACATCGAAAATCTCCACCGGAAAACGCGAGAAAACTCCGACGAAACTCACTGAAACCTTCGTTGGCCGCTCAAAAAATCTCCATCGAAATCGCCCGGAACCCTCTCCGCCGCGAACATGTGAAAACTACATCGAAACTGCCCGGAACCTCTGCGGGTTACATAGAAAATCTCCACCGAAATCGTGTGGTATCCTCTCCACCGTGAACACGCAAAAACTTTGTCGAAACTTCCTGCAACCTCCTCCGGTAGCACCGAAAATCTTGACATCGAAAACCTCAACCGAAGTCGCGCAAAAGCTGTTCGACCGAGAACGTGAGAATCTCCGTTGGCAGCATCGGAAATCTTGTGTAAGCTCCTCCACCGAAAACACGAGAAAATGCTGCAGAAATTTCCTGGAACTTCCAAAAATCTCCACCAAAATCGTGCTGCGAAAGCTTCTCCACCGTGAGCGCGAGAAAACTTCGTCGAAACTCCCTGGATCCTCCGCTGGCAGCTTCAGTAATCGCCTTCAAAACCATGGTGAACCTCGTCCGCCAAGAACGTGAGAAAACGCCATCGAAGTTTACTAGATCCTTCGTTGGCAGCATCTAGAATCGTCTCCGAAATCATGCAGAACCTCCTCCGCCGAGAAGGCAAGAAAAATCTGTTAAATCTTCTTGGAACTTCCGCTGGCAGCATCCAAATCGAAAAAATGCTGTCGTAATTCGTTGGAACTTCCGTCAGTAGCATCAGTAATCATCACTGAAATCGTTCGACACCTTCTCCGCCGATAATGCGAGAAATTCCGGATTCAGCATCGAGCGGAACCTCCTTCGCAGGGAACATGATTAGGGTTTCCATACGTACTCTTTTAAGTTAACTCTATGGTACAAGTACTCTTTTTTGTTTTGAAAAATCTTGTGCTCTTATTTTGGTAAAACCTCGGATAAAACGGAGGTTTATATACTCTTTTAGTAGGAAACTTATGACTTTCCCGTATTAGACCGAGTACCTCCAACTTCATTGCCAATAGTATTTTTTTTTTGCATTTGAATTAAAAACAAATCATATTGCTATTATTCGAAATGTAAATGGTGGCATATAATCAAATTTACCCGATTTAATCCTTTCGCGGCACACGCCACTATTTCACACGAAATTATGAATTTATTTTCACAGCACAACTCAACAAAAACACTACTTTGTACGCCATACTCCTTCTACGCCTCTGGATCTAAGATTGAGCCCATCGCTAGAAATCTGCTATTTATCAATTTTATCTTGATGAACGCGTCATTGGGACGGTACTAATGGATATTTTTGGTCACTATTGAAAATTTGGCTGATGACGGATATAATGTCAGCCTAAATAGCCCTTATTTTGACCCATAAATAATTTCAACAATCGACTACATAATCAATAGCGACCAAAAATATCCATTACTACCGTTCTAATGACGCGTTCATCTAGATGAAATTTATAAATAGCCGATTTTTAGCGATGGGCCCAATCTTAGATCCATAGACCAACATTAGATCCATTTCCCCTACTAAAAAATAAATTTAAATCAAAAATCTTCGACAACCACATTGATTCTGCAGTGAAACAAAGTCTGCGCGCTTTTTATGCCAATCAGTAATAGAATCTTACATTTCCTGGTTGGGTATCATTGTTGCTGTGGAACGAGCAGTGCAATGATGTGATTCAATCAAGCCAATGTTTTGTGCATGATTCCGAAGTCTCAGCGGCTGTGCGGATCCGCCATTGCCTGCGATTATACTAGCCTGCTAACCGTGTAGCAACTATGGGTTTGGTGTGAGTTCAGGCGCAGTAAATGTATGCCATGGCAAAAGGTGGAACAATGTGGTACTAGATTGCTCAATCTCTCTGCCATGTCTGATGTTTTCTGTGTGGTTCTGCATGACCG